AACTAAAACATCGGTGTGTTATCAACATTGTTCTCACCCTAAATCCAAAACACAGCACTGTACCAGCTACTAGGAAGGAAATAACTCTATCCCTGCTGAAACCAGGACACAGTGCTAGAAATGTCTGGCAAACCTGCGAGTGTTTCTTTGCTTTCTTGCTGGATGCCAGCTGTCATTCCAGTGAGGACACATTTAGGAAATCCTAAAAATTAGCATAAGTGCGAAGGGGAAGAGATGTAGATTTCCCTTCAGAAATGTTATGTTCCTATTTTTCTCATCTACGTAAACCAGACACCCAAAGATGCCTGGTGAGGATCTGATGAGATGCTGAGAACTCACTGCAAACCAAAGGCTTCCCAAATTACGTCTGTTTGTTTTTTTTTTTTAAATTAGACATGACAGATAGGATATTACTAACCTCAAAAATGCCAGAAACAGGTAGCAGCTGTCTAGGCTGGGAAAAGTTAATGAAAACTGGAACTGTACAGAGTCATTGGCATGGACACATCGAGGAGGTAAAGGAGTTAAATCCACAAATGGAGGGGTAAATTGGGACCCTCCGGTGCTTGAGCAAATTTTTCATAAAGAGGGGGCAAGGAAAAAAAAAAGGAATACTGAACTGGAGGCAGTAACCTGTGAGAGGAATGATTTCATGGGAGCTGGGTCATTATCCCCCGTGCTGGCAACACCTCAAGGACTTTGGGTGTGCTGGGCTGGAACAACTAGGCATTTTGTCATTAAGTACAGGCTAGAATTGCTTTTATATTTATTTTACTTGCAGATAATTGCTTTCAAAACTTTGCCTGACCTTGATGAATGTTTTCTTTTTAAGCTTGCTGGGGGATGTTCTGAGGAGGGAGTCATATAAGGATGGAAAATGGTAAACATTCAGGAGAGTTACAGTAATTGTATCTTTGCCATTTTCATCTCTCCACACGAAGTAAAGCGTGTTTTAGTGGTATGAAATTCAGAGAAGCTTTGTAAGGGCAAAGTGTCTCTGATGAGTATGCCAGATACCCCTTACAGTGCTAAGACTTTCCTATTTGAAGTCACTGGGAGTTTTCTGCGGTGATGCTGGGTGGTGATGTGACGGTGGTGGTGACGCTCTTCAGCAATGTCCTCCCCCAGACTGTCTCAGGAAGCTGTGGATCCACTGCCCGCCAGGCCAAGCGTGTGAGCACGGAAAGGCTTTAATATCAAACTTCATGACTCTGCAGCGGAACAGCAGGAGAAGTTGGGCACAGTGGCGTGGAGAAAAGATATCTCCAGATGTAGTCATTCGCTTTTCAGAGCCGCTAGGTGGGATGGTCGGTGAGTGGTATGCTGACCTTGACGTGAGGACACTGGAGTTTCACTCTCATCTGGGCCATGCAGCAGGTCTGTGCCCTTGTGCAAGTGCACTGTGCCAGCTTTGGTCTGCTCCACACAGAGGGCCATACAGGTCCCCAAACTAGGTCATCCCTAAATCTTTCAGGGGAGTATGCTTGGATCAGCATACCGTAACTAAGATTTAACAACAGCAGCCCTGTTCTTTTGGTGCTATGGTAACGATAGCTTTGGTGTCTCCCTTAGCTAAGCATGACCTCACATGCTCCCACTCAAATCACTGGGGTGTGAAAGACTTCAATGGGTGACCGCCTAGGGCCATAGTTAATGGTAATGCTTTTAATTTTCAAAACAGTTTTTTTTCCCTTTTCTAGACACATGTTATCATTAATATTTCATGACAGTCTCTAGAGATACAGGAAAGAATTCCTGGTCTTGGTTTAACAAAAGACATCAACAGGACTGCTATGCATGGAAAGTTAAGTGTGCCCAGGTGTTTACTAATGCTAGGGCAAAGCATAAAGTTGTGTGATATTTTTCTGATGAGGAGCAGAATCTCCACCTTGCTGAGGATGGGTATTTTAAAGGAGATGGATGCTCCCCATGGGGAGCAGAGTCATCGAAGCCATATCAAGAGCTTAGGGCTGCCAGTCCTCTTCCTGAGCCACTGCGCTTGCCTTGGTACAGTTCAGAGTGACACGTGGCTCCTTGCTGAGCTTGCTGCAGCCGTGCATGGTGGCACCAGCAGAGTTTCGCACCTTGTGCATGCACAGTGGGGTGTTCAGCACGTGCTGGAAGCAATTCACCGAGCAGCATATTGTTTTCACCCTCAGCAGCTCAGTTGGCTGTCAGGGTGGCTGTGCTTTGGGATATTTTGGATATGTCAGTAAATATCTTCCCTCCAACAGTGCCAGGTGTTTCCATGCACAGCAGCTCCCACAACCACTTTGTAAAGGTTTTGTGGCGAGGGGCTGCCCAGAGTGCGGTTCCTGGTGGCTGTTGTGGGTGGATTGCGACTGACCCCTGGTGAGCCACTGCACAGCTGCAGAGGGAAGTATAAAATGACAGCCTTCTGTGAGCCATCACTGCAGGATCCTTCTGAATCTTTATTTCAGCTCCCATCTTAATGACCCTGTGGGATGGTCTCGGTCCATCAGACTTCAGGCTAGAGGCCAAACTCACTAGTTAGCTGGGTTGCTTTTCTTCTGACCCATTGAGAATTTACACCAACAAGGTATCAGGGGCTTTTCTGTACAGACCTGGGGGCTTGAATCTTTTGGGATCTTGCCCTCAGGATTTCATGTCCCTGCAGGCAGGTTCAGGATCAGATTCCAGCACCTTTCTGTCATCACAGTCCTCTGAGTTCTCACACACCAGTTTGTGTATATGTCCCACACCATCCCACTGCTGTGCTTGGGTAACACCTTCACATGAGTGATTTAACCAGGTGTTTTAGAGAAGACTCATTCAAGAGTCTCTCTGGCACCTCCATTTTTCCAGCTGGTTGAGTTTTTGTAAATAGTGGCTATGTAAAACTTTCTTATCCAGTAATTAAGGGCTGTTGCTTCATCTTGCTCATCTGCTTCTGCCTTACCAGGTCATATGAGAGGGGATGTCTTCTCAGCCATGTGGCAGCAGACTGGCTGCGTGGCCTGAGACCACGGCTGGGGAGAGGCATATGCAAAAGCTTTTGCGGTATCAAGGAAAGCTTTGTAAAGCTTACAAAGAATGGTGCAGAACTGATATTACTGCTGGACTGCTGTGGTGGTTGCACTGCACTCAGTAATCTGTGTTTTTATAGGTTTGATGCGCTCCCATTTGATGATTATGCTAAAACTCTAGCTGTGGTAATAGGAACAGGTTTGCTCCCTTTTTTTAAAATCAAGAATACCCAATCTATTAAACACTAATTTGTCTCCTTTGTGGTGAGAAAAGTATGTGACTTGAGAATGCCATAAATGTTGGAGTGTGATTTGTAGCCTTGCTTTCGGGTGGGGTACCAGGGGCACCCCGAAGCAAACACTGCCGGGGCCCGAGGTGCCCCGTGGTCACCACCACAAGATTGTGCTCCATCACCACGCGCCTTTAATCATTGCAGACTTCAAGCTCACACATTCTCCTTGGATGAACAGAGTGTGTCTTTATTACTCTGCGA